AAACTCTGAAGGAACATCCAGAGATAACACGAGGAATAAGGCTGAGTGTAACTTTTATTATTAAACTTATTAACCTATCCATGAATAGAACGCGTTTTACCTTAGATGACGAGTTATACGAACAGACACAAGGAATTGCGATGGGATCTTACATGGCCCGCATCTTGGCGAACAATTATATGGCAAGGCTGTAGGAACACTTTCTGGAAGGGGCAATACTAACCCCCAAATTGATGGCTAAATATACGGATGACTATTTTGCCATCTGTCCTCTTGATAGGGAAAGTTTAGATAGTTTCATACTTCCACTCAACCATCGTGAAAGCAACATTAGGTTCACAATGGAAATGGAAGATAATAAGTCCTTATTATTTTTGGATGTTCTTATCATTAGAGAAGAGGGTAAGTTAGGAAGAGATGTTTGTAGGAAGCCAGCATATGTTGGCTCTGCTTAATTTTCTTCCCAACCATAGTTACAAAACTAAGGTTGGAATTTTTAAGTCAATGATTATTAGAAATATGGGGCTAGCTGATAACAAACATTTGACTAAAGATTCATTTTGTAGTAACCTTCATTTCGCTTGAAGATGCGAGTGGAAGGGATTCGTAATTTGGTTCCACCGAAGGCTGTGGGGGGTTGCCTTGGAGCTGTGGTTGTAGATTTGTGTGAATAGGTCCTCGGCGCACCGTTCCTATGTTTGAAATATTCAAGATTCAGTCTTCTTACATTTCATAACGCAACTTTAACCCCATAAGTGGGGTTGGAGAAGAAATTTAAAAGGAAACCTGCATTTATGGGTTTCCTATACACATCTCAACCTAATCTGATCCCCTCTTTGTTACCTAGGACATCAAAAAAGGCAAACCACCTTCCTTTTCTAATTTGATGTTGAATTTCGTCTTCCCATCTATCCTGTTCATCAAGCCAAGAAAATTCTCCAGGTTTTCTTTTCCATGTTGTCAGATAGCAAAGATAGTCTTTCATATAGCGAACTCGTTGCAACTTGGTCTTGTTGTCAGGGCGACTGAATAGAAGGCACCTAGTCCGAAGTCGTCTGCCATATTAGTTGTCATGATTCCCAGCATCAGAAAGTAGACTTGGTACATTCTCAAACGTTCCCTTATTAACATTATCAGGTGAATTCAGAGAGAGCTTGCTCGCCCTTGAAAGTCCCGTCCGTCTTGTGGCCCACTGTTAAACGTTGCTAAAAAGGCGAAATTGTAATTTTTGATTCTTTAAGTGCACGGATCAGTTTTGAATCCTATTGAGGCTGTTGCTGAAACCAAGGCGAGACTGAACCAGCATTCAAGGCCGGAAGAATGGGCCTTTGGGAGGAAGGGCTGAGTGAACTTCAGCAGAATTGTGTTGCCTACTCGATCAATTGCGGGCAAATTCTTTCATCATTCTTTTAATCTTCTTAAGCGACCTAGACTGACTAAAGTTCTTAACACGATGGGATTTATTTTACGTTTAACGCCAGAAAGCATCAATTGAACAGGCTTCAGAATATGTTTAGAATATCCATAAAACTTGATGCCTACAAGCATTATCTTAACCATACTTGCTTACGAGCTCATGAACTTACGCAGTCTTGGTCTGGGCTTTCTCTTGGGTCATTAAGCTTTGATGCTAAGAGCCTGACATTAGCCCTTTGATCACTCTGATTTAAGTCCGGTATTTCGTATATACGCTAACCCACACTCATACACACACGCAAACACTCGAGCAAAAGTAGTAGGACCAGTATGAAAGATAATTAGCCAAACCACTCTATATCTATCTAGTTTTTTTCGTTTGGCTTAATTTAGTTTATATAAGAGGTAAGATAAAGTAGGATAGTCTTCTTACCCTAGTGTTAACGTGAGACTTTTATAGGAATGAGACCCAGCTCTGCTGATATGCATCATATGATGGACAAAAGGTCAGCCCGTTTTCATCCGAAAGGAGGATTGAAGTCTCGTGGACTGCGTCAACATGAACGTCGTATAAAAACTAAACGGCTATAGTACAACGGGATTCCTTCGTCCTCTTCTGGGGAGATCGACCCACGAATCTCTTCTTCAAGCACTTTCATACAACAATGTAATCTCAGGAGATTCATCGAAACCCATTTTCTCTTCGTACCTTATTTAATTAATAAGTCATTTGATATAATACTTGAAATCGATTCAAATGTTACTCTTGTTAGTTTGATCTCTCTGGTCAACTTTTTGGCATTCTTGAAAAACAATTATATTTTGCTAAGCTACTAGAGTCTTGAGAGCCAGTGTCGTCAGCGCACTGTCGCATATCTGAATTGCAAGCGCTCTGCACACACGAAATAGATTCATTTACACTCAAAACTCATCCTTCGATATAAGAATTGCTATGATGTATTCTAAAATGTAGCTAAGCTAGAGTGAAGAGTTTAATTTTTCTTCCCTTTTGTTATTTATGATTTATTATCATTTATGATTTATGAATAATTCTTAAG